TGAACACAGATACAGGCGAACCTCAGACCAGCAGAGCTGGTTGCCATAAAAAGCCCAATGGGAAGTTCAACCTAGCTTCGGTCCTAGATGGTTTCTTTCCTGCCCAGCTCAATGCCCACCACATTCACCTCACCAACACAGGGATGGTCCCACTTTCTGGATTCCAAATTGTCAAAGGGATTACAGTGCCTTCAATTAGAAAGTCAAACAGTATCCCTAATCAGCAAAAAATCAGGGCCAATGACAGACCTCTCATAGAGAGATTCCCATCTCTGTGCATTTAAGACAAGTGTGGATTTAGGCCTGCTACACCTCCAATATTCATCCAGCCACAAGGTACCCAAGGCTCCACTCTCAAACAGAAGCATTCCTGAATTGTGYATGAGCATAGCCTCAGGYCATACCTTTCCTATGAAAGGACTCTGAATAACCTCAGAACCCAGCCTGCACCCTCTGCCCAACAGCAGACCCCAAAGACTAGAATGGCCACCCGGGTTATATATCATATAATCCTCCTCTCCAGAAGCCACTGCAATCTCAGCCAGGAGCCCCACTTGGTAGCACAGTCCAGATAATTGCTTTGAGAAAGAGTGGAGCTCAGCAAGGACCACCCCTGCTGTCATAACAAAGGCATGTGGCTCATATGACTGAAGAGTGATCAACAGGCCTGCCCACCTATTGTGGTAACTAGCTCATCCTCTAGAGTCACAACATAGAGAGCCAGAATAACATGACCACAGCCAACTTCATTCATAACCTGGCCTGATGAATAAACCTAGCCAGTCCCTGGACAGTTACACTGCATACCACAGAAAAACAAAACCACTATGSTGTCACTGGAGTGGGTCATGCAAGACCATAACATTGCCAGAGCCAGGAACGTGCCTGGCATCTTTCATTCTAGCTCAATAAAACCTAATGCATTCTTGCTTGAGTGAAGGCCACCTTGTTTGTGACCACTACTATATAAGTCCACTCCCTGGGAATGAAGTTGCAGGGATCTACTGGTCATTGCTTCCCTTGACCAAGAATTTGTCCACAATTCCCATTATTCCCCAAATCTTCAATTCTGATTTTCTATGAAACTTGTTGGTCTCTTGACGTTTTCTGCTTATGGCTGATATTTCTTTATGTTGGATAATCCTCGAATACCCAGGATAGACTAATAGGTAAATGAAGAACTATGCCTGTATGAGAACCCTATTGAAGTTCAGAACAGGAAGTTAGCTGTACCCTGAAATGCACACATAGCAAAGTTAAACAAAAAAAAAAAACTTTTTTTGAATAAGTGAATCATGAACACTCCCAAGAAAACTAATAGAGTTCAAATTATTGATATATAGAAATGAAGATCTACAAAATATCTGAAAAAATCAAAATGATTTTTAGAGATGTCAGTGAACTACAAGTTATACAGCTGAAATTTTCATACAATTTGGAAACACATTAAAATAGCAAAAAGTTGCAAAAGAAAGAAAGTAAATGAAAGAGAACCAGCTAGAATTCCTCAATAGGAATGACACCAAGACTAAAGTAAAAATGCAAAAGGGAGCTTCAGTAGCAAAATTGTTCCAGAAGAAGAATAAGTGATCTGGAAAACCGAACATTGAAATGATCTAATGAGGGGACAAAAAGAAAAGAAGAATGAAGAAATCTTACTGGTCTTGTTGTCTTGGGACACCATGGAAAGCCTATAGATCTTAGGACATCATAAAAATCTTTTTGTTATAGTACTTGGTGAAGGAGCAAAAAAGATTACTGGTCACAAAGCATTGATAAAGAAACATTGGCTGGGGGCTAGGTTTGTGGCTCAGAGGTAGAGCACTTGCCTAGCACCACATAAAAATAAATAAAGGTATTGTGTCTAACTACAACTAAGAAAAAAATATTTTAAAAAAGGAACATTGGCTGGAATCTGCTCCAGTTTGAGGACAGATTATCCACACAGGTACAGGAAGCACTGAATTATCTAATAAAATTGAAATCCAAGGGGAGAATATCAACACACTGAATGATAAAAGTATCTGAAATCAAGGCAAGGGCTGGGGATGGAGTTCTGTGGTACAGGGCATGCCTACCAAGCATGAGGTCCTGTACTTAATCTGCAGTACCCCCCCACACACACACACACACTCAAATCCCAGCAAAGAACATATTCTGATAGCAAAATAAATAGAAAATAACTAGAAAACACATCACATACAAAGGACAACCACTAGGCCATTCAGCAGATTTCCCAGCAGAAATGTTGCATACTAGGAGAGAATAGGATCATGTATTCAAAAAAATTGAAATAAAACAATGCCAATCAAGAATACTTTATTCAACAAAGCTGCCCCTCAGAAATGAGGAACAAGTAACAAATTGACCAAACAAACAAAAGTTTTTAGGGTGTTTATCACCACTAGACTTGCCTTCCAGGAACTGCTAATGGGAGTTCTCAGACTATAACCAAGAGCTGATAATTAATAGTGTGGCAAATACAAAAGCACAAAACACAACACAGTGCCAGTAAAATAGAGCCATATTATCCTGACATACAGTTAATAAAGGCAAGATAGCAAAAATAAATTGTCAAGGCATGCATATAACAAAATGATGCAGATTATAGCACCTAAAACACAAAAAGGCAGAGTTGTGGCATCAAAGGAAAGTTAATTTGATATCTGTTTGGTATGGATTTTATAAGATATTCCAAGCAAAGTTCATGGTAAGAACAAGGCAAAAATCTTTAGTAGAAGCCCAAAACAGAAACAGAGAGGATTCAAAGCATACCACTCCATTCCAACCATCAAACCGCAAAGTCAGACAAATGACAGAGGAAGAAACAAATAATCTATAAAATAACCAGAAAAAAAAATCTTACAAAAGGGGCTGGGGTTGTGGCTGAGTGGTAGAGTGCATGCCTGACATGTGTGAGGCACTAGGTTTGATTTTCAGAACCACATATAAATAAATGAATAAAATAAAGGTCCATCAACATCTTAAAAAAAACCTTACAAAATGGCGTTTGTACATCTTTACTTATCAATAAATACCTTGAATGTAAATGAATTAAATTCTCCAATTAAAACACTGAGTGACTGAATGGTT